TTGATTATGCCTTTCATGCATGGCACAAAGGGGTCGGACTGGATGACCCCTGGGGTTACTCCTATTATTATTCTTGTCGTTGTTGTTATTGTTATTGTTGTTATTATTATTACGAAGGCTGGATGGCCATCTGTTGGGGAGCTTAGGTTTTGTTTTTTCTGCATATATATTCATATAACAATGACCTGCCTCAAGGGAGCATGCTAACATGTACACAAATCAGCCTCTGCTGGACGGGACAGAGAGTTTCATCTACGCTGACGATCATGCCATCACCACTCAAGCAGGGAGCTTTGAAACGGTTGAACAACAACAACAACAACAACTTCCTTTGGAAAATGCTCTGGATGACCTACAAGAGAGAGGAGAGTTCTCTCCATGTTCTCCAGCACAATTTTATGGTCAAAGTTGACCACAAAATCATGCTGGAAAACATACGAATCGAACCCATGACTAATTAAATCCACTAAAGCCAACATGGACGGCTGACTATCTTTAAGTAATTTGGGGATCATTCTGCAGTCTATCTGTTTTGGACTTTTTTTTCTGGATTTTGGAATATTGCCTATACCTAAGGAGCTACCTTGGCGATGCCACCCAAGCATTCATTCATTCGTATTCCATAGGCAACTTCTTATATATACATAGCCTGAAGGTAAATTTTACATTGGGAATATTTTAATATGTAAGTTCCCGTCTGTTCTGGTCTCGGGGGAAAATAAAACCGATGCAGGTTGACTTAGTCGAAATGCTTGAGAGCAGAAGTATTTGGGATTCTGGAATATTTGCATATTCATAATGAGATGTCTTGCAGATGGGACTAAACACAGAAGGCATGCGTGTTTCATAGACGTCTTATTATAAACATGGCCTGAAGGTATAGTTTTATATAATAATCTTCTGCAGGAAAGAAAGGGTGGGTGCGCCGAAGCATCGGGAAAGCAAAGGTGTGCTGTCACGCGCTGGGCCTATAGCAGTTGGCTTTTGAACAGGACGTGCTCTTTGTGCCCAGCGGGAAGCCGGGGTGCCTCGAGTGAGAGGCCCTACGGATTTTCCTATACAGAGTCTTTAAAAGCTTGAAAAGTTTAACAAGGTCCTTTCTTATTGCTTAGGTCTTCAACAAAACAATCAAATACTTCTCACATCTTCAACAGGTCAAACAAATACTTCAAGGCTTTGAATGAACTGGTGGCTTTCTTAATCTTGTCCACAAGGGACAGGCAACTGGCTTCGTGAACTGTTTCTTTTGTTTAAGAGGAAAACCCAACCACTGCCTCCTCCTGTATAATATGTATAATATCACAAAGGACGACCACCTCACCCGCCTCATAGGAAACCTGCTACAAAACAGGAGCTTCTTTGTGGAGTTCCAGGGCCAGAGAAGCAGATGGCGGAAACAGAAGAACGGCCTGCCTCAGGGGAGCGTGCTTGCTCCATCCATGTTCAACATCTACACAAATGACCAGCCACTGCCAGAAGGGACAGAGAGCTTCATCTATGCTGATGATCGTGCCATCACCGCTCAAGCAGGGAGCTTTGAGATGGTTGAACAGAAGCTCTCCGAAGCTCTAGGACAGTGCTCTTACTGCCTATTACAGGGAAAACCAGCGGATCCCTAATCCATCTAAAACACAGACATGTGCTTTTCACCTTAAGAACAGACAAGCATCCCGAGCTCTGAGGATTATGACCTGGGAAGGAATACCACAGGAGCATTGCATCACACCCAAATACCTGGGAGTCACTTTGGACCGTGCTCTGACTTACAAGAAGCACTGCCTGAACATCAAGCA